CTCTAAAACCAAACCAGCCAACAGACCACCATTTTAGGCTTGTTTAATCTGTTCATTTAACTGTTGTCACAATATACAGTGTAAGATGTCTCAGTGAAAACAGTCATTGAGAAGTCATTTTGGAAATATGAAATGCCATCAGAAGTAAGTTGTAGCAGTGTTATTTTAGCATCACTGAGATACTATTATAGTTTTTATTAATAGTTTGAATTATTATAATTTTTGTTGCAGTTTATTTTAGTAAATCAAAAAATCTAAATTAAATGAGAAATGTTTCCTTGGCAACTAGTTGAAATAAAATAAGTTTCCGTTTCTTTAATATTTTATTTCAGTTAATGTGTATTCCATTTCAAGTAACATTTTTTATGGTTTTGGCCTGTAGATGGCTTGCAACAGAACGCCTGTAATGTTCTCTTTGTCCAGGTGTTTGTTTTCCAGGTTGTGGTGATTGATTCCCCCAAGCGGTTTATCCAGTGTACAACCTATGGCAGCTTTAGCTCACACTGGCAGGAGACACTTTACAACATGCTTACCTTCACCTTCCTCTTCCTCTTACCACTCTTCATCATGATCTCCTGCTACACCAGGATATTGTTTGAGATCTCCAATAAAATGGCCGAAGACAGCTGTAAGTTCTTTAAAAAAATATATATATAAATTTCTAATGGTAACTTCTTGATCAGCTTGCAAGTGACATTACCCTGAGGTGTCTTTGCCCTTACTTTATTATGTGTCATCTGTCTTGCTTCTGTTGTCATCTGTGTCACATCCAGTGCTGTCCAACAAAGTGCAGCTGCGCAGGTCTAAAAACAACATCCCTAAGGCACGCATGCGCACGCTGAAGATGACTGTGGTCATTGTGCTGTCATTCATGGTGTGTTGGACACCCTACTACATGCTTGGCCTGTGGTACTGGTTCTGTCCCGCTGGCCTGGAGGAAACAGTGTCCCAGTCCCTCTCACACATCCTTTTTATATTCGGCCTGTTAAATGCTTGTTTGGACCCCGTCATCTACGGTCTCTTCACCATTCCATGCAGAGGCATGAAGCACCGACAGCGTGAACATAACATTGTAGCCTTTGAGCTGGAGAACACTAATAACTCTTTGATGACTTCCATCAGAACTTCCACCTCCTCGCTCACTTTAAAGAGACTGACAGTTCAGCAGACTTCTAGAGAAAAGCTAGAATGGGACGGAGAGTATGTGCACAGGATTGGAGATGATGGGGCAAAGAATGGTGTGGCCTTTGCAAGTCATTCCACCTGTACGGACTAAAAGCCAAAACACATGAGTTGTCTATATGTATGATAGCTTTCCATTTAATTTCCATGAAAGCCATTATGGGCACTTTAATCTGATGTGTATAAAGGTTTCACATGTAATGTTTCAAAAATATTTTATTTACTGTAATTAGTTCATTCATATTGGCTTTTTTCATATTGGTAAATCTTTTGCATGCTGAGCCTTGAGATGACCAGACAATGAAAGTCAATGGGGTCCAGCAATGTTTTGGAGCTTTATTATACAGACTAACAGTTTTATTTATTTTTTCAGTATGATTTTTTAAAGAAATTAATATATTTATTTAGCAAAGACATATTAAATTAAAGGCAGTAAAGACTTTTTAATTGTTACAAAAAAACAATGAAATAAATGCTGTTCTCAACTATTCATCAAAAAATCCTGAAAAATATGTATCACGGTTTCCACAGAGATGATTCCTGTGCAGCAAATCAGCATATTGGAATGATTTCTAAAGGATCATTGACACTGAGGACTGGAGTAATGACAGCTGAAAATTCAGCTTTGACACCGGAATTAATTACATTTTATATATTAAAATAGATAACAGCTATTCTAAATTGTAATATAAAATATTACAATAGTTTTTTTGTATTTTTGATTAAAATAAATTCAACCTTGGTGAGCAAAAGAGACATTTTTTTCAAAAAGATTTCAAAATCTTACTGACCCAAAACCTTTGAACTGTAGTGTATCATCTAGGTTTTTGTTTGTTTGCTTGTTTTTGCATTTGGGTCTCAAATATACACCACATCTTCTTTTCACAATGTCCTTTGAAAGGCTATTTCATGTACTTTGTGAACTTCACAGATATTTTAACACACATCACGTGCATTTCTTCTGGCAGCAGCAAAATGAGCAGGGATCTTTTATGTATCTACTTAACTAAAGTGTACAGTGATTTAAAATGATAGATATTGAGTATTGGTTTATGCTTATGGTAACCCTGTTTTGTCTTGTGGTTTAAAAGTTGAAATTACAATAAAATGAATTGGAAACTGAAGACTTAAAAGGCTTTGGCACAGATCATTAAATTCATGCAGCTCATGAATATACGGGCTGTGACTCAGATCATGCAATGTTCCATAACCTCACAAAAATCATAATACTGCCTCCCCACTGCCCATGGCCAGTCCAATTAAAGAACGAGTAAAAATGTAACTAAAAACTGAATAAACAAAATAACATGAATAACATGGAATGGTAGAGGTTTTTAATATGCCTGAGCAAATCTGAAAACCAGTGCCTATGGCCTGTCATGTGAAATAAATAAGAACAATGCAACCAGAAAAATTGTGGTGACGTTCAGTATAATGTGTGGGAGACATGATTAGCTGTGATATTATATGAACATTTTCTGACTTCAGAACAGACCATGAGACTGTGCATAACAGATATACTAACAATTATACTGAATTTTGTTTAAACTATGTTAAGTAGACAACAACTATACTGCAACAGAGCTGTAAATGTTGGGAAAATTCTAGAATCAAGTCATAATAAGCTTAATCAAATGCACAGATTCCTCATCCATATACAGTATAAACATATATTAGGACATGTGAGTCCCTCTCACACATCCTTTTTATATTTGGCCTGTTAAATGCTTGTTTGGACCCCGTCATCTACGGTCTCTTCACCATTCCATGCAGAGGCATGAAGCACCGACAGCGTGAACATAACATTGTAGCCTTTGAGCTGGAGAACACTAATAACTCTTTGATGACTTCCATCAGAACTTCCACCTCCTCGCTCACTTTAAAGAGACTGACAGTTCAGCAGACTTCTAGAGAAAAGCTAGAATGGGATGGAGAGTATGTGCACAGGATTGGAGATGATGGGGCAAAGAATGGTGTGGCCTTTGCAAGTCATTCCACCTGTACGGACTAAAAGCCAAAACACATGAGTTGTCTATATGTATGATAGCTTTCCATTTAATTTCCATGAAAGCCATTATGGGCACTTTAATCTGATGTGTATAAAGGTTTCACATGTAATGTTTCAAAAATATTTTATTTACTGTAATTAGTTCATTCATATTGGCTTTTTTCATATTGGTAAATCTTTTGCATGCTGAGCCTTGAGATGACCAGACAATGAAAGTCAATGGGGTCCAGCAATGTTTTGGAGCTTTATTATACAGACTAACAGTTTTATTTATTTTTTCAGTATGATTTTTTAAAGAAATTAATATATTTATTTAGCAAAGACATATTAAATTAAAGGCAGTAAAGACTTTTTAATTGTTACAAAAAAACAATGAAATAAATGCTGTTCTCAACTATTCATCAAAAAATCCTGAAAAATATGTATCACGGTTTCCACAGAGATGATTCCTGTGCAGCAAATCAGCATATTGGAATGATTTCTAAAGGATCATTGACACTGAGGACTGGAGTAATGACAGCTGAAAATTCAGCTTTGACACCGGAATTAATTACATTTTATATATTAAAATAGATAACAGCTATTCTAAATTGTAATATAAAATATTACAATAGTTTTTTTGTATTTTTGATTAAAATAAATTCAACCTTGGTGAGCAAAAGAGACATTTTTTTCAAAAAGATTTCAAAATCTTACTGACCCAAAACCTTTGAACTGTAGTGTATCATCTAGGTTTTTGTTTGTTTGCTTGTTTTTGCATTTGGGTCTCAAATATACACCACATCTTCTTTTCACAATGTCCTTTGAAAGGCTATTTCATGTACTTTGTGAACTTCACAGATATTTTAACACACATCACGTGCATTTCTTCTGGCAGCAGCAAAATGAGCAGGGATCTTTTATGTATCTACTTAACTAAAGTGTACAGTGATTTAAAATGATAGATATTGAGTATTGGTTTATGCTTATGGTAACCCTGTTTTGTCTTGTGGTTTAAAAGTTGAAATTACAATAAAATGAATTGGAAACTGAAGACTTAAAAGGCTTTGGCACAGATCATTAAATTCATGCAGCTCATGAATATACGGGCTGTGACTCAGATCATGCAATGTTCCATAACCTCACAAAAATCATAATACTGCCTCCCCACTGCCCATGGCCAGTCCAATTAAAGAACGAGTAAAAATGTAACTAAAAACTGAATAAACAAAATAACATGAATAACATGGAATGGTAGAGGTTTTTAATATGCCTGAGCAAATCTGAAAACCAGTGCCTATGGCCTGTCATGTGAAATAAATAAGAACAATGCAACCAGAAAAATTGTGGTGACGTTCAGTATAATGTGTGGGAGACATGATTAGCTGTGATATTATATGAACATTTTCTGACTTCAGAACAGACCATGAGACTGTGCATAACAGATATACTAACAATTATACTGAATTTTGTTTAAACTATGTTAAGTAGACAACAACTATACTGCAACAGAGCTGTAAATGTTGGGAAAATTCTAGAATCAAGTCATAATAAGCTTAATCAAATGCACAGATTCCTCATCCATATACAGTATAAACATATATTAGGACATGTGAATATATAAACACATGGCCTGACTTCATGTAGAAGAGCTTCAATGTTTTTTTTTTTCTTTCTTTAAAATATGACATCAAAAGTTAAACATACCATTTTTTGCTAATTGATGAATTAATGCGTGCATGCATTTGATCCTCATTAATACATAAAAAAGAAAACGCATTCTCTGTCTTTCAGTATGACTTGTCTGGATCTCTTTGTAGTATATGAAGCTTCATTTAATATCACGCTTCGAAAGCTGCTCCCATTGGAAAGCCAAATTTCTGTTCCTCTCTTTCCAAGAGTCAGCTCTGCACACACAAAGACATTACACATGTAAAGTGTACTCAGTGTTTTAAGTTACAGGCCAAATCATTGTTAAGGCCTATTAACACCAAGAACGGTAACTATGAACATCAAGTAAAAAAAAAAAAATTATTCTAGATAAGGAATGTGATGGAAATTTCTATATTTTTCTTTATTTTCTATTTTCCATATTGTATATTCTCCATTTTCCACATTTTCTATTTGCACAGGTGTTGGCCTTTAGTATTTTCTCAGTGTACGTGAATAAAACAACTGTCAGCATTCCTCTAACAGAATGGCTATGACCGGTTTGAACTAATCTGAGAAGATATTGTTGAAGATCAATGTCAATTCTTGGGCAGCCTTTATCAGTATAAAAGAGACTGTACTGAATTGCCTTCTGTCTTTCTCACTTCAGAGCATCTGTGTGTTGGACTGACCATTTTTGCAAAAATTAAAGGGCCAAAGACAAATCCTATGACTGGTTTTTCACTCTCGGTCTGACATTCAATAACAGATTTAGAATTTTTCCACAACAGAAGTAACAACAATAACGACACAGAGGAACAATAGCAATGGAATCAATTACAAATCACTTTTCTCCAGCTAATGAACGATAAAAACATTAACAGCCATTCAAAATCCTTTAAAACATATGCTGCAAATATGTTCACAGACCATAAGCACTCTTAGAAAAAATATTATAAAAAAGGTTATAGTCTATTGGTGTGAACACTAATATAATTATCATACAGCATATAGTTGTATATATAGAGATATAGTTAGAGTTATCGTTCTTGGTGTGAACGTGCCTTTATACAGTTCATCATAAATCTTTTTATAAATCTCTTACCATACTCATTTAGTCCTATCTAATAATTTAACATTTGATGAACAGCTTGCATGTCACATTGGGTCTCATTTACTAAAAACTACATACAAAAAGATTCTCAAAATGTGTTCTTACTTTTACTGTTTAATACTGAACTACATTTCACCAACCTTTCCTTAAAGTAAAGGTTGCAGGCCTCCTCCAAATCTGAGAGTGTGGCTCTGGTCTCTTTTTCACTTACAGCTGGACTTGTGACACGGTATAGATCCATCAATGTGCATTCTGAAAAGCTGAAGATGAAGAGAGAGCTCTCATCCTTATTCCTATCAGTCACCTCCACCAAAGGTGTTTTTCTGTCACCTAAAAAAAAATCAAGTGTGTCACCATGAACACAATCCGTTTTTAAATGTCACTCAATCAATAATAAATAACAAATAATATTAAAAATGTGTCACTTTTGATGCATTGCCTCACAACTTCAACAGCATAAGACGTCATTCACACAGAACAATGTAAATAATGGACTGAAAAAAAAAAAGGTCTAGAAATGTGTGTTTTTTTAACTTGACCTCTGGGTTTTTAGAAAATGCTCTGTAAAGCATGAGACATTGTAAAAGAAAGAAAATGTTCGACTGCATGTTTACATCAAAAAACAATGGAAAAGCAGCACAGTGAAATGCAAAAAGGTGTTCTGTGTGAACGTCCCCTACAGCAGGAAAAAGAGTCAATCATATAATAATACGATATTACATATGAACATGATAGAACCTCATTTGTTGTTTTTCAGCTAAATTACTAATTTGTCTGAAGTTTACCTGTAATATATAGTTTTTGTTGGACTGGCTCAAGCAGACACACAGGTTCCCTGAGTGAGCCCAGCACATGAGTTGGAGGCAGGTTTAAGATCAATACTGGTACTCCATCCTCTGTTTCCCATATGGATACTTGCCCATTTCTCTGCATCAACAAAATCTAAAAACAATTTCAGGAATGAGATACATTTACATGTATGTTCTTGGCAGATACTTTCTTAATAAAGTGACTTCAGATCTTGGACTAACTGCAACTACAACTGCAAACAAAACCATTAAAGTAGCTGTCACAACCATACAGGTATATACTGTATATACACACACACACACACACACACGTTGTGTTTCCATGTTTTATGGGGACATTCCATAGGCGTAATGGTTTTTATACTGTACAAACTGTATGTGCTATTGCCCTACACCAACCCTACCCCTAAACCTACCCCTTACAGGAAACTTTGTGCATTTTTACTTTCTCAAAAAAACTCATTGTGTATTTTTTATAAGCTTGCTTCCTCATGGGGACCTCAAAAATGTCCCCACAAGGTCAAAATTTACTAGTATTACTATCCTTGTGGGGACATTTGGTCCCCATAACGTGATAAATACCAGGTACACACACACACACACACACACACACACACATATATAATATAAAGATACACATATATATCTGAATTATGCTGCAAAATTGTACAATACCAGACACTTCAGGAAGGGCACAGGTTCAGCAACAGTGACAGAACTGCCTGGGCCTGCAGGTCTGATACGAGACAGTCATTATATTTATTTCAAGCATGTCAGGTTTTAGCATGTTAATGGACATGACAGCATTAATGTATTTGGTCTTGGCAGGTAAGATCTGCAATGCATGGCAATAAATACAGCTGTAAGATATGCTGCTGCTCCATTTATAGGCATACATAAATCACATAGCAGATCTAGACATGTGGAACTGGGGGAGGTAGAGTGTTTCAGAGGAACTGCAGGACCAGCAAACACCGAACCAGACTATTAGCTATTTATACACCACACTTAGTATTTCTGAACCCGTTTTAATAACTGTGGGTATTTAGTACCTTTCAGTAAGTGCAACAGTGCATGTGTCTCCTCCTCTGCCCACTGTCACACTGTAACATGCCCCACTTCTGCAAGTGACCACTAACTGTAGTGTGGGCAAAAAGGGACCCTGAAAGAGCGGAGTGACCGGCAATTGACTCTGCAAAAGAAGTTTCATCCTACAAATGGCGCCATCTCCTGGGATCACAATATTGGCATATGGACACCCTGCACCACCAGAAGACAATCAAGGGTAAGATTCTTTCTCTCAGTATGATCGGTGTCACATTGTATTGTGCAATTATATCATGGTTTATTCTTATAATTGAGAACCACACAATATATATCATAAATAATATCTTAAATCACTAAATACTAAAGCAAGCCTACCAAACCGTCTGTCCCATATAGTAACCAGCTGACCGTCAAGCCCTAGAACAACGAACCGTGTGCAGGCACTGACGGCAGAGCAGAGGATTTCCCGAGAATTGGGCCACAAAACATCTGGTCTGGGTTCACTGTCTGATCCAAGAACAGATTAAAATCTAATTTATAAACATGACTAACAAATGTGTCCTTGTAATGTTAATATACTGTATTTTCTTTCTAATCTATGCAGTATAAATGTATGAGTTAATGGCTTGAGTACCCTTCTCTTTAGGGGTCTTCAACAGAAGATACTGTAAGAGATTATGGCTGCCATTCCACCATATGCACACAGCAATGGGAATATCTTCAAAGATAATTTGAAGAAATATTATAAATGCATATTCAGAGAACTGATTGTACTGTAAATTGTGATCACACACCGTTACAGGCTATATTTATCACTGAAAAACATACATGTGAAATCATCTCTTGAGTTCATGACTCACCTCTAGCTGCCTTCGCTTCTCCAAGCATTGAATGAAACCCCTCACGCAGTAAGAAGTGACAAGTACAGTTGCTGTAAGGTAAAAAACTAATTTTGTAGTCTGAAAAAAATAACCTCTGAAAAAAAAAAAATCTTGACATCTTTTGTAACCTCTAATGGTTCTAGTGTTTCACTGCACATTTTGCCAAATATTTCTCATGTGATCAGTTCAGCTGCTCCCTATATCCAACTTTTTTAAACATTCCATAATTTTAGTTAAATCGTGGCTGCAAATTAACTAAATTAAAAGAAGGCAACGAATTAGTACAGCACAGCCACAATTTACCTAAAACAAGAGAACAAATGAATCAAACATGACCATGAATTAATAAAACATGGCCAAAAAAGTTGCGAGAGCAAATTCATAATTTGTGGCCACGATATCTATTACAGAGTTACTATTACTATTCTTGTTTGTTAAGTCTATATAAAAAGATATTCATAGAATTAGTTAGTGTGTTAATGTGGATAAATTGTCAAAATACTTTTTGGGATGACTATATATCTGTATATAGACTGTATAGACTGTATACCTCCTGAATCTAGTGAAATATGACTTCCAATACTCTTTAATCAAGCCTACCTTGGTCCTTCTGCTTTTTGCTGTGGTGTCATCACAGAGCTGGAGCTGAGGTACTTTGTGAACATTTTCTTAAATGCTGCATCCTGGTGTTCCCATTGACGACTACTAATGAGGTGATTTTGGCCTGAGCCTATTATAGTGCCTTCCTCTGTCTTCTGCAGGACCTCAGATGGACTTTTCAGAGAGGTTCCTTGAAGACACCAACAGTAAAAGAAAGACATAACAAACTTCTGAAACAAACTTTTTTTTTGCCACAGTGATTCATACTAGATACCTGCAGGGATTTCTGGAGGTTTGATCTTCATGAGTAAGACTACTGGAGACAGTTTGGCTTCTGTGGTCTGTGGGGTTTGTGTAGCCTACAGAAGAAATGGCAAAATATGATCATCTCATTGCAGTAATTTTGCAATCAATGCTAGAAAAATAAATAAATAAATAATACATACAGACAGTATAGGAACAAACATAGAGTATATTTTTTTCTGAAAAAATACATAACAGTTTAAAATGTGCCTACATGGAAATTGGGAATTTTTAAGTGACATCAACAATGCACCATGTTAAGATTTGTTTAAAGCATAAATACAGCAAACAAGAATATATGGTTCCCTTTCAGTCGGTCACTCTCGACGTCACGTCGGATGACCGACGAATTGGGATCTCGCTTAGAGAGACCAATCTACTTCGAGTGTAAACTAAACGAGCCAATGCACATTGGCATGCGATTATTGCATCCAGCTGCTGCTGATCACAGCGTGAGTATAAGTAGGCAGCAGATGCAGCGCATATTCAGCTTTTCGCTTCGGAGCCGAGCGGTTCTATCATTCTGCTCCTGACCTAAGTCTACGGTAGTGAGAACTACAGTCAAGCATGCTCTTCGTGAGCTCTCGTGCTGGTGGTACGGCGCTTCAGCGGCGGTGGTTTTCCTGTGTCGAGTGGGCTCGTTCCCTGAAGGAGGGAACGGAGATGTCACGTCCCATCGCCACAGCTCCTGTACCACCGCTGAGCGGCCGGGTCACCGGCTCGGCTCCTCAGCGAAAACCTGAATATGCGCTGCATCTGCTGCCTACTTATATTCATGCTGTGATCAGCAGCAGCTGAATGCAATAATCGCATGCCAATGTGCATTGGCTCGTTTAGTTTACACTCGAAGTAGATTGGTCTCTCTAAGCGAGATCCCAATTCGTCGGTCATCCGACGTGACGTCTCCGTTCCCTCCTTCAGGGAACGAGGGTTACCATACGTAACCGAGACGTTTTCCAGGTAACTTTCCAATGTAACTATAACAGTTACCTGTTTGGTTTCCAGCTCTTTGAGCCACACATCTTGTGGGAAGCGATAGACATCCAGCCAAACTGAGCCACAGGCTTCATTGACGATATACCACAACAGCATTAATGAATCAGTAGTACTCACAGTTAAATGTTTTTTTAGTTTTATATTACATTTCCGTATTTTAATAGGAAATTTACTTGTCATGACTGCAGCTCCAAAGTCCCCACTTCTAGACACTTCAAATTTTGCACAGATGTTTCTTTGGTTTATATCTTCCTGTGAGAAATGTAACACATGTCTATTACCAATCGAAAACCAACAACACACTCACACACACACACACAAAAAAGCTCTTAAAATGGTATTATGAACTTACAGTTTCATTGATGACTTTTATTAAATAAACATTCTCCATGTGATGCAAAAAAAGCCGTGCAATACCTTAGGAGAAAATAACGTATAAAAATATGTATAAATAAATACAGAAAATATAAAATAGGGAGTTTTTCATTTAAATTGTCTAAAAATATCCCCCACTCTCAGAAAATTACCCATGTCATCCACTGTGCATAAGAGGTGTGTGGCATTTCCCAGAGAGGTACAAGAGATGCTGGTAAGCTCCACTCTTTCATCCTGCCACGTTCTTACACAGGTGAGAGTGGATGTACTGATGACTGACAGACCATGAGTGTGACCCAGAAACAGGTAAAGTCCATCATCAGAGCACACAATACTATTAGTTCTGCCTGGAAGCTAAGAACCAAGCAACAAAATAATCATATGTAAAATGAACATTTTGGACAAATGCATCCAAAGCACAAAGCAATATGATGAGGCCATTTGAATGTGCATGTTAAACATACCTTCATGTCTTTAGAAGCATTCAGCACAGGAATTTGTCTTGCTGCTTCTTCATCCCTCTTGATCTTTTCCTGCTCTGATATAACTTCCCATACACTGTCAACAAGGTTATTTAACAGCTTGTTGACTACTCTTGCATACTCAGGTAGATTATCATCAGGCTGCTGCAGATCTGTGAAATAAGTCACATCATCGTCTTCACAGCTGCTGTAATCTGATGGCTCTGGGATCTCCAAACCTCTTCTGACATTCTCAGCCATCTTGTGTTATTTCTGGAGGGGAAAAAAAGATATTGAAAATGAATTGCAGAATTCATTTTTGGCAGACCATATTTACACACACACACAGATACCTAAATATAAACATGTCAGCATATACAAAATGGACCTGAGAAAAACATGGTGTTTTGCATATGGTACTAAAGTAATATTATGTACCATAATACCATGATACTATTGGAATTACCTTCTTGGAATTAACTTACCTTCCAGTTAGTATTAGATAAACAAAAATGGTGTAATCAAACAATGTCATGGAAAGTGATACACCATGGCACCTCCACATTTCTACTGTAAGAGTAAATTCACAAAACCAACAAATAAATAAATAAATAAATAAAAATTTGTTCTAGCAGCAAGTACATTTTTGCTTTAGTTTTGTTAATTTCTCATATGTCGGACCTCTTGACCTCCATAAAAAGAGCTAATAAAAAGGTTGAAATCTGTGGTCTGTGGACGATGCAGTCAACATGGGACTGCATTATGTTCTGCAACATCTAGACAGACCAGGGACTTATGTGAGGATCCTGTTTGTGGACTTCAGCTCGGCCTTTAACACTATCATCCCAAACCTCCTCCTGCCCAAACTAACTCAGCTCTCCGTGCCCACCTCCGTCTGTCAGTGGATCAACAGCTTCCTGACAGATAGGCAGCAGCTAGTGAGGCTGGGAAAACTCACATCCAGCACCCGTATAATCAGCACTGTAGCTCCTCAGGGTTGTGTTCTCTCCCCACTGCTCTTCGCCCTCTACACTAATGACTGCACCTCTAAAGACCCCTCTGTCAAGCTCCTGAAGTTTGCAGACGACACCACACTCATCGGCCTCATTCAGGACGGTGACGAGTCTGCTTACAGACAGGAGGTCGAGCAGCTGGCTGTCTGGTGCAGTCTCAACAACCTGGAGCTCAACACGCTCAAAACCGTGGAGATGACCGTGGACTTCAGGAGAAAC